GCCATTGACTCGCTCGGCCATACACGAGAACGTTGGTGCTTGGGAGAGACCTTCGCATACACAACCACATACACGCCTCCATCCACGGCTGCGGGCACTGCGGGAAAACCAGGCGGCCACCATGTCCAGCTCCGCTCTGCCACTGGTCCTTCCCCAGCCGCAGGGCTGAAGTGCTTCCACCTCCCTCTGGGACACCCACTGCCCTCCTGAGACCACTCAGAGGCATTATCTGTCTTCTCAGCAGCACCCATGTGCTCATCACAGCTCTCCATCCTCCTTGCTGGCTTCCCACAGCCCAAGAAAATTAAGTTCAAGGTCTCCATGTGCATCTTCAAAGCTCCCAGTGGCCCAACAAGGGCCTGATGCTCCAGGCCAAAATTTTCAGCTGGCAGTGGGTCTCGGTGGGAGAAATGCTTCCTAGTGCAGAAATTACCTCAACTTGCTCGCTGCAGAGCTGGTCCCCCACTGCGTAATGAACCACAACATCCGTCACAGGCTTTGCTGCCTTCTGCTCTGAATGCAAGTCACACCTTGCTCTGAGCAGCGCTGGGATCTCCCGGGGCCAAACCAGGACTCTGTGGCTCTCCCTCTGGGAGAGGAGATGGATGGAGACCTGTCTTGGAGCAAGGACCAAACCACTTCATACTCCAGCCCCGCTCTTTCCTTCCCCATCCTCCAGATTTGCTTACTAAGGAGCTTTGCCGTGGCTTCGACAGGAGGTCTCTGGATCGGGGTGGCAGGGGAGCAAGGGGCGAGGCAGCAGACAGACCGAGAAATTCACAGGGAAATTATTTTGTTTTTCCATTTCCTATCGAGTTGGCCTAATTGTGCCACTAAAGTCTGTAATTTGCCTCTCACAGAAGAGGGTTAATGACAGGTTCCACACTACTGCTGTTCTGCACAGGACCGGGGAGACAAGCGCGCCCACAGCCTCCCGCTCCAGCCCCCGGCTGTGCCGCAGAAAGGACAGCGGGACCCCAAAAAGTTCCTGCTTATCCCTGGAGAAGGGAGCTCAGGAGAGGAGCTGGGGACTGGGAATGGCAGCCAAAGCCACCAGAAAGTTTGAGGAGGGGGGAGATGTGAGCAGGCGCTGGAAGGAGATGGCACCAGCCTGGGTTTCTCCCCCCACTTCTCAGATTCCCAGAAAAAGTGAAAAACATGAAGGTCAACCACTCGGGGAACTCAGGCAATTATTGCTATTTAAATTCAACAACCCTTCACAGAAATAAGGGGCAAATCAGACAAGTGCTTTCAAGCTGTAAGGGAGGCAAGGAGGAGAAACAACAGCACAGATTTCAGGACAGGCACCTTATTTAAAAAAAAAAATAAAAATATACACACACAAAGTACAAAGCAACTAGGAATTTCCTCAACAGATCACACAGTATCCACTCTGTTGTTCTGCTCAGCCACAGGTAGCAGAATTGCCCTCAAAAATATTAACCAAAGCAGAAACCTGATGCTCATAGACCCCAGACAGCTCCCAAAACTGCCCCAGCATCAGCGATCACCTCCCTGCAGATATCAGCACCAGAGCCTGCCTGGATCCGCGTCACTCCACATCCATCTCAATAGCTTATAGACTGCTCCCTTTTAATTAGCTTTCATAATCAAATAAGTGTCTAGAATTAAACAGCACTGTATCGTGAAACGCCGTATAAAATTAACCAGCCATGTTCAGAGGTCACTGCATCTGCCGCTGAAACTGAAACAGCACTGAGAGGGATACAGGTCTATTTAGCAGCACACAGGAGCAGTGCCAGTAAGGGTAGGTTTTAGTTGAGAAAAAAATTGGGCCGATTAAAATTCAGTTTTGAGACCAGTGAGGTTGGATTTGTGCAAATATTTTGCATATCTGTTTAAGAGCATCTTTATATCATTTAAGCTGAAGTCAGTAAGGAATAAGACTGAATCGCTGTAAAGCGCACTTACACCAAAATAAGTACCCACATGAGGACTCTTTTGATTTAACACTCCACCAGATCCATCAAGAAATAGGGGCAGCTATTGTGTTTAAATCGGGTCGGATGCAGGAGGGGAACATGAATCTACTTGAAACCACATTGGAAGTTCAGCCAAGTGACTTCTTCCCCGAGCACCAAGCAAGCATCAAAAGCACCCCTTCGGAACGGGCCGTCCCGTCCCAGCCACCAAAGCTCAGACCTCCCCGGTTCCTCCAGCCAAGCAGCAGTGTTTGGAGCTGCTGTGCATCTCTGGCTGCCAACAACGTCAGCACAACTCTCCCTTCTGCACACCTTTTGTGCACCTGAGCGGCTGGTGGGATGTGCTCCGGGGCTGGCTGCGTTTCGAGGGAAGCAGTTTGAAGGCAGAAATGTTTGAGAACAAGAGAGACATAGAGCAACACCCTGAAGAAGTATTTGCACGGGAAAGAAATAGTTCATCCAGCTACTGAAGCAGAGCAGTTATCAGCACAGCTCTCCGCATCTTGCCTGGTACAAGGCATCAACCCAGGTAGACCACCTCGCTACCACAGGTCTCATCTTTCCTGCAGCCCATCCACCTCCCATGTCCGCACCGTGCCCTGCGGAACTCTCCAGACCATCAGAGGACAGATGAGCCCGGAAGATCTGCTCGGTGGCAGCACAGTCAGTCCCCAGCCACAGCCTCTCTGGAGGACTCAGAGCATCCCTCCTCCCAGACACTGCAAGGGGAGGGAGGGGGATGCTGTAATGAAGGTAGAATCTGCCTTGCCAGTCATTATCAGGCAGAGTTTGGAGTAGAAAGCTGCTTGTAAAAACAGCAGAGCAGTATCTCAGAGCCAGAAACAGCACCAGAGACATCAACTCGGGTTTTCTGGGAGCCCTCTGAACCAGGCGGCATTTCACATCCAATCCGACAGTGATGGATGCGGTGGGAATGGAGCAGGTTTTTTTTCTCCTAAGAAGCTCTTTTGACAAGTATGATCTTATCAAAGTTTCAGGCTTTTCATTATATTTCTTTTTTTTTTTTTTTTTTTTTTTTTTTTTTTTACCTCCTGCCTTCAAGCCGCACTCTGTCCTCTCCGTGCCAGCAGGGAACAGTTGCGTTTCCCTTCTGGCCCTGATCAACGGCAGAAGCTCCCCGCGGTGCTCAGAGCAGCGCTGAGGCCTCCCCTCCCCAGGGCACACGGCCCGGGCGACCCACCAGAGCGAGAGCAGAGCTGCAATTAATACACGAATAGGTCTAGAAACATGCAAGACACAGGGGTAACTCCACTCATACTCAGAGAAGGGAATACGTGGGCACCTTCAGGTTGGGGTGAACCCACACAAAGGGATGGGGAGACATCCCAGTGCCCTCATTGCCTCTGTGAGGTCAGGTGGAGGTGTTCCAGCAGCTCCTGCACTTTTGCTGGGCACCTGAAGCAACAACCTGCCCAAAACCTGGAGGCAGCCCACCTCTCTGGGGCAGCAGAACCTTCCCCTGCCTCCCTTCCCCACCTCCCATCTGCTCTCCATCACAAAGAGGAGCTTGGACCATCCTCTCCTCACCCAGCAGTAAACCAGCACAGCCACCCCCTTACCGAAGGGCTTTCCCAGAGCACAGAGACACCGGCAGCAAACACACCAAACCTCCCCAAAACCGGCAAACCCCAAGACTCTTGGAACAGCCCCATACCTTACACACCAGGCTGTGCTATCCCAAGGGACGGGCTGGAGGCAGGATGAGGAACCTTCCCTGCAGGAGGGCAGAGCTGCTTTTGTTAGCTGGTAACTCCCTAATTAGCCCAGGTTGGTCCTGATGGGGAGGGTGGAGCTGGCCCTGCCTCTAAAGGAGGGGGAGAAAAAAGCCTTAGAAAATCCCTTCCTCTCTGCTCCATCCCTCCAGCCTCAGCCCACACCTTGGGGAAGAGCAAACGAGGAGGAATCAGCCCTTTCTGCCCCACATCCTGCCCTGAGCCCTGGGGCAGTACAGGCTACAGCGTGTGCCCAGGAGACGCTGAGCTCTCCTTTCCCTGTCCCATCCCCTCATGAGGACCCCGTTTTGCCGCAGGATGGCCTGGAAAGGAAGGACACCAAGCCCCACGCTGTCCCGGAGCACTTGGCCACCCAAAACCTTCCCCGTCAGCCAAACCCAAGTCACCTCCTGGAGCCTGGAACGAACAGTCACCAAGAGACGGCAAACGCTGAGTGCAAAACCATGGTCTTTTATTAGAAATCTCCTCGTATAAAAATGATCATGCTCTACACAGTCATTGAATAATTCATAAACATCCAGGCACTGAACTTCGTTGTTGGGGTTTTTTTTTTTGTGGGTTTTTGTTTTTTGACTGGTCAGTACATAAAGCAGACATATTTCAATCCATATGGTCATCACATACATTAATTAACCACCTATAGAAATCAGCACTTTGAACACAGTCTAGGTTTTATTTTATTTTATTTTGTTGTCTGTTTTTTTTTATTTAAATTTTATGTATTTTTATTTATTTTTCCTTTTTGCAACATATAGAATTTGGTAGGATATGGGAGAGAGAGTGAAGAGGGACGGAGGAAGACAGGAACAAAAGAAAATGGAGGATTAAAAAAAAAAAGGGGGAGAAAAACAGAAGGTTCTGCACAACCACAAACAATCTCACAAATTCCAGAAAAGGGAAAATGTTGGGTCTCTTTTTTTTTTTTTTAGTTTGTTTGCCAAGATACAGGAAAAAAAAAAACCGCCAAAGACTTGCCGAAGTCTGTCACTTCTTCCCCGCGCTACGTCCCCCCTGCTCAACTGTTCCTCTTCCTCCGTGGGGAGGCATGCATTGTCACGGTGGTCGGTTGGTCGGTGGTTTATTTTTATTCGTTCTTTATTTTTATTTTTTGCTGCTGTTGATCGCCGTCTTCCCTGGGAGCTCTGCCCAGCGGCCCCGCCAGGAGCGTGTCCCCCCCACTGCCACCTCCACGTCCTGTCCCGCTCCCCCTCCAGCGTCCTGCGACGAGTGATGCGACTCAGCTCCCTCCCGCGTCGTGGCATGCGCAGCCTCCCTCTCTGCCAGGCAGTTGCGATCGCTGGAGCTAAATCGCGTGGTTGCTATAGCTGACGTAGGTCTGTTTGGTAGCCAGTGCTGGAAAGAGAGACAAACCTCACATGTATCATTAATGTCCACCCTCCCCTTCTGGCTCCCATCCCCTCACCCTGACCTGAGTGTCGTGCCAGGAGATGCCGGCGGGGATGTGACTCGGGGTGCGCTCATGGATCCCGCCAGCACTGACATTCGGGATCGTTCCTGCGAGGGCACGGAGCCATGGCTGAGGGGCTGAGCCCCATGGCAGCCCTTGGGCACTCTCTAAGACAGTTCACCCCAAAGAGAGACCCCAGGACGTGACGTGAGCCACGGGCAATGTGCTCTCAGGCTCTCATTCACTTCCCGCAGCAACCAGACAAACCCGCAGGTGCTCCATCTTCCCAAAAGCTCAGCTCACCCCAGCCCTGCAAGAGCACGATTTGGGGTCCAAGCTGAGCACCCTGCGCCCCCACACACCGCTGCGTGGCAGCCGGGAGCGGAGCAGCAGGGCACAGGCAGTGCCAGCAGCGGGTGGCACAGAGCCAGCCAGCCCGGCTGCGTCCCTCACCGAGGATCCCTGTGCCCGTGCTCGGGCGCTGGAGAACACGTACGCAAACCTGCTGCCACCTTCCACCTTCCCCGGACACACCAGCCCTGGAGATGGGGTTGAACACAGAAGGAGAGGAGGCAGCGATGGCTGCAAAGCCACCACACGTCCCACACTGACACCGGGGGAGCCGCAGCAAGGCCCAGAGCCAGGAAAATACCAGATAGCAATAAATCCTCCCGCTCCCCGCAGGGCTGCTCCGCTGCCTTTGGGCTCACAGGCTGCGGCACATCACTGGCTTTTAGCAGCGGCCACAACTCAGGGAGAGGTGGAAGCGGCAGCTTGCAACGCCCTGGCTGGTCTCGGTGCTTCGGCCGGGCACGATGCTCTGCGGAGATCCCACCGTGAGGTCCCCGGGTACCACGGGGCTCAGCAGACACACAGACGCCCTCCAGCCAAGGACAGGGACAAGTGCTGGGACAGACAGCAAAGCCCAAGACACCATGAGCAGCACAAATGTGTCTTCTGCGGAGACCGTCCCTACGGCACCGCGCAGAGGGGACGCCCAGCAGCTCTCCCTCAGTCTCGGTGCCTCGCTGACAGATGAACCTTGCTGCAGATTTCAGACTGGTATTCCCAGATAACAATTAGATAGGCCATAAGAAATTAGAGCTGACAGAGCTATTTGTTAGCCGCAATGTTTTCCTAGCCAATCTGCCCATATCAAAGCCCTGTGAATTATTTATTCTGTTGTTTATTTAAGGATACGTGACCCTCCGGTGACAGAGTGAAAAACAGCCCCTAGATCCTTTGCTGACAACCACACCGTGCCTCCTGCCCCCAGCATTGATGCCGTGCCCGGCTCTCCGCCTTGGCACACCTTGGGAGTCCGCTGCCAGCCCCGTTCGCACCAAGCTCCCGTATTCCCCATGCGAGACACATCGGAGCCGGAGATGCGGCAGACGGGAGGCTCAGCTCTCCCTGCTCCCGGCACGTACGATCCTCAGAGGCTCCTGCTGCGAGTCCCGCGGGGGAGAAGGATGCTCCAGGCAGCGGAGAGCATATGGGAATGTTTGGGTTCAGGTCCCAGACGAGGTGCTCGCTGCATCTGCGCCTCCCAGCCCTGCCGCAACGGGTGTATGAGCCCTTTGTGCTGGCAGAGCCCTGGCCAGGAGCTGCGGGTGGCCGGAGGGAGAAAAAGGTCACACATGCCAATGCTCCTGCAGCATCACGGCCTGCGACACCGATGCCGTGGGGAGTCTGGCACCAGGTGGCTCCCCAGGACAGGGGACATGCTCCCAGCACACCCTTAACGTGGGGAGCCCACAGATAGCCCCAGCCTTGCGCGGAGCGTCTCTTGCACAGACAAAATAGGGGTGACAGAGGGACCCCTACCCACTGCCACGTTGGCATAGGGCCACAGACCACCCAGATCCGCGCTAGCGGCTGACAAAAGCCACCTCCAGCAGGGGGGGGCTGACCGTGTAGCTGCCCTTCACAATGCAGATAGGTAGATGAAAGAGTCGATTGTGCAGTGAGACTGTCCACGGAGAGACATCGCGTACAGAGCTACCGCCAGCGAGAGCCATTACACAGAGCGATGAGGACACGGAGGTTACACAGAGATGCCAAGGGATATTAAATAGCTCTGGCTGGAAACAGAGCAAGCGTGGGATTACAAAGACAATCACGGCTTTCCATGGAAATGCTGTTTTGGTCTCCGTCCCACGGATGGTGGAACCCAGAAACTCTACTGGTACATGAGGAACATTTGTATTTCCGTGGGGTTTTCTTCAAATTTAGCCCAAATGGGATTTCCCTTCTCAAAGGACCCCAGCAGCATTGGCTCCGTTTCTTCCTCCTGCAAGGCTCTGGTTTTGGAAACCCAAATGCAGAAGAGGCACGCACCCACTTTCCCAGCGTTTCCCGAGCCCCCAGCCTCTCTTCCCAGGGGAGATGGATGGCTCTGTCCCTGTGTCAGCCTTAGCTCCAGCCTGGCCCTCGGAGGAGGCACCCAACACTTCTCCATCAGCCACAGCAGAGCCCTCCCGGGAATGGCCCCGTGTGCCCTGGGTGGGCTGACATTAGGATCCTTCCCTGAGTGTTCAAGCAGGTTCCCATGTGCCCCAGCCGGCACCTCACCCAGCAGCAGCATGAGCGTGTCTCGGGCGCATTTCCCATGCCAGCCACCCAGCAGCGTTTCCCATGGGATAACGTAAATGGGTCTGCGGAGGGATGGGAGCTCCAGGAGCACTCCCCATCAGAGGGAGGCAGGACACGTCCTGTCTCACTCATGTGGCTGCAGTGATGGAAAAGAGCTTTTCTTGGGTTAAACGAAGGAAGGGAGAATCTCCCCTACCCACAGACAGGAGACGATGCTGTCCCTTCTCCAAGAGCCAGGAATCCCTGCACGTGCTGCGGCTGCAGCGCAGATACCTGGAGCACACCTCCCTCCCTGGGGTGGCTTTGGGCCGGCAGGGAGCAGAGTGGGATACAGCCCTTCCCACGCTGCCCTCGCTGCTGGGGGATGGTGGGCCAAGCCCTGGGGCAGGAGGGAGCTGAGATGTCCCTTTGCCAAAGAGCAGCGCTGTCGGCATTGCCCATGGAGGACAGCACGGCTATGGCCCACCGGTGAGCCAAGGCTTTGGGCTTCCCCATCACGTCAGTCCCCAGCATACCCCCAGCAAGACCAGTTCCCCAACCCTGCAGGGAGCCACGTTACCTTGCGTTTCCAGATTTTCGCAGAGCTCCGATTTGGCCTCTCCATTGGGGCGGAAACCTCCCTTCTGAGAGAACTTGTTGGACATGGTGGCCGCCGTCACCACTGCCTTGAGGCTCCGCTTGCGCTTAGGGACGTTCTGCTCAGGGTGGAAGAGGATGATGTACACCTTGGGCATGTAGAGCATGCCCAGAGACACCGAGGCACTCAGACAGGTGGGCGTTGTGGTCTGGATGTACATCTGCAAGACACAAGGGCATGAGCTGAGACCCACCACGGCTCTGTAGGACCCAGAAAGGGTCAGCTGGGAAAGGAGGAGAGGAAAGAGGAGAAGGTGGAAACGTTGGGGTTAAATAAGTGAAGGGGTGGGAGCCAGGGTTGGGAATGTTGGCAATATTGGATCTTAAACATCAGACTCGACTTGTTGCATGGGCCAAGGTGCACCTGGGGAAGCCTCCGGCTCACTTCTGTTGTTTCCCTACCTGCAAACACAGGGAGGCTGTGCTGGTGCCCTGACCCATGGTTCGGGGCCCTGGCGCAGCCTCCCTGTGTGCCGAGCCCTCCCAGCACCCACGCACGCTCCAGCAGCAACCTGGCGGCACCCCAACTCAAAAACATCACCGGAGATGGAGCCCTCCACCCTCGTCACCCTCTCCTCCCCAGCACCCCCAGCACACTCCAGCAGCCGCAGGGGCAGGAGGTCTGATGCGATGGTGATGGGCACAGCAAGGACACCCACACCCAGGGCCCAGCCCAGGGCACCCCCCGTTTTCCCATCTCCCTTCAACAGGTAATTCCCATTCCCCAGCTGGCTCCCTGAGCCGTTGTCATGTAAGTCACATATTACACACCGACGTTGCCTTTCTGCAGTCAAAACTAATTTCACGCTCACTGTCCAGGACTAACAGTGACAGATGTTTTGCAAAATGAAAGCCCATTAATCTGACTGTAGAATAATCCATTTTTCTATGGAAAGCGTTTGGCAGGCTCCTCACAAGCCGGGGGCATCTGAAGCAGGTGGCAATGGGAGGTGAAGAGATCCCCTCCCTCCGCCCATCCCCACCTCTCGTCCCTGAGCAACACGGGAGGCCGGGCGGGCAACCTCCTCCACGAGCATCCCTGCTCCAGCAGCATCCCTGCTCCAGCAGCATCCCTGCTCCCGGCAACATCCCTGCTCCCAGCAACATCCCTGCTCCCGGCACAGGGCTCTGTCCTCTCCAGCATCTTCTCCTCTTCCCATGTAGTTCACTTGTTGGGCCTCTCCAGGCTGAGCAGGGAGAGGGCTCCGCGACTTCGGGTGCCTTTGTACACACCTTTTTTTCTTTTCCAGCTGTGCTCAGTCGCCGCGGCTGTTTTGCAGGTCGCTAACGAGGTTTTAGGAAGTGGCTTAAGGCAGTTTCTGAACTTTACCCTGTGGCTCAGTCACAGCGTGGTGTCCAGTGTTTCTTCTGCGGTTGTTTCCGCAACGGGATTGAGTGCCGCGCGAGGTGGCAGGACCTGGAGGAGCAGCATGAGCGGGGGTAGCGGCTCCCCACCTCCCCAGCTGCACACGCTCAACTTGGACGCTCACTTTCCTGCAGTCAACGGAGCAAAAAGGTGACCAAGGACAGACGCTGCGCACAGAGGCTCCACACGGCTCCCGGGGGAGAAGGTGCAGCTCCGACCCACGAGCGAGAGCCAGCGGGAGGCAACAGCTCCCAGCCGGGGCTGTCATCCCACCCCAGGACCTGCGGGTCCCGAGGTGTGACCGTGCAAAGAAACATTTCACTCTCTTCTCCTGCTTCAGAAACGAACACACATGCCCAAAAGCCTTTCAACTCAACCCAAGATAAAATAAAAAAAAAAAAAGCAACAAAGCTTGCTCTGAGTCAACAGAAAAGTTTTGTTTGTCCCCAGAATAAAACCTATTGCTGTCATATGCACCGGTTTGTTTGTTCCACCTTCTCTCTATAAGCACGCAGTCAATCTAGGCAGTTTTTGGAAATAAAAATGTCATTTCATCACGGAAAGTCAAAACATATCTCTGTGCCAGAATATCTGCTGGGTTGGTTTTTTTTTTCCTTTTCTTCCTTTTTTTCTTTTTTTTCACTGAAACTCCAAACTTTGCCACAAATGTCCTGGACTTACCGGGCCTGAGGGCAGCACTGGGACACCGACTCCCGGCACCCCAACCCCTGTCCCAGGGACTGGCACAACTCTACTTGGCACCAGCGTGACACCCCGTGGGACGTGGCTGAGGCTCCGCAGCCCTTCACCTCCCCGGCTCCCCCGCCTGCTCGCCCTCCTGCTCCTCCTCCTGCTCCTCAGCAGATGCCTTTTGGAGGCGCCTCTACTTCTCAATCCAGCAATTTCCATATTTCCTGCCTCTGCAGCGACTCCCACCCGTGCCTCGGGACTCGGAGGCGTTTCGGCGAAGGGGGAGAGAGCAGCTGAGCTTGAGCTTAGACGAGACATCTCCGGGTACGCTTCCCCATCCGTGCCTGGGTCGGGGCTCCAGCCCCCAGCGCCGCCGGGGACTGCCCTCCGCCGAGAGCCCGTGTGGCACCAGCTCCAGGCTCCCCACACTCCCCCCTTCTCTTTGCCCTCCTCAAAGCCCTGCAGCCCTTTTGGGGTCTCACGGGGCCGCCTTCACCCTAATGATCCATTTGCCAGAAACAGCCCCGTTTTCTGCAGCCCGCGCCAACCTCAACAGCTTCGCATCACGCCGCAGCAAACCCTTTTTCAGCTCAGAGAGAAATATTTTTAGCCCGGAGTCTAAACACAGCCATGAAGCACGGCACAGTTAACCTTTTGCCACATCAAAAAAATGACCATTTCTCACGATTTTGGTTCTTACTCTCTTAATTGGTTTCCAACCCAGGACCCCGCTTTACCCCTCCGTTAACGACTCTTGAGCTTCCCCCAGAGCCCTTTGAGGTGAGCGCTGCCGTTATAAAAGAAGTACAGTTCCCGGTTCAGCGGCATCCGCTGCTCCGTGGATGGGATCAAAGAACACAGCCTGTCTCTGACTCAGGATGATGACGCTGCGTCGAGGGATCGCAGCAACCCTAAATGACCCAGCACAAGTCCCCCAAGCCCAGCACCACGCTCAGCCTTTGCCCCAAGGCTGGATGAGTCCATCCTGCCCCGGCAGGAGCAGCCCAGGCTCAAGGCACAGCCCCACACAGCTTGTGTTTGTCCTAAAGCAAATCTCTGCCACTAATTGGCGCCCCCCTCCCCTAAATGCAGGCCTGACCCAGCTACGAGAGATTGTGCACCGCCACGGGTGCCAGGGAAGGGAAAAACTGCTCAAACCACTGGACATTCCTTCTCATTTCTTCTTCTCTCCTTCTTTTCCCTCGCTGAAAGCAAATGTGATAAACAGAGAACCAGACAATGACACCGCTGTTCAGCTGCCGCCTTATCAGCGCAGGAAATTGTCTCTTTCTTTAGATCCTCTGTTATTGCTATTTCTGTAATCCTCTGGGATCGGCAGGGATAAGAGGTTCTTTTGAGAAAAGGCTTGGGGGACTTGTTATAATAATATGCCACCTCCATGCAAAGTTGTAGGCACGAGGTAAAGCAAAATAAAAATGGAGATTTTTATCCAGCTCCTCCGGACCACGAGGCAGCCTTGGCCGCAGGCTCAGATGGGGCCGGGCAGAGGCGTTGGGCGGTGTTTGGAGGTGTGGGTCTGCCCCGTGGCATCCTCAGGACTCCAGTGAAACTCCAGCCGTGCTCTATGAAGAGGACAATGGCCTGGCTGATGCTCCTGGCTTTTCTTTTCCCAAGTGTGCTGACCCTCCACCCAGCCCAGCGGAGCCTTAGTCCCGGCAGCAACGGGGCAAAGACGAGGACATCCCTCCCTGCGGCACCCCGAGGATGCTCTGCTGAGCATCCGGGCAGCACCAGCACCGCCGCGGGGCGATGCCAATGCCAACACCCCCAGTTTTCATCCTAATGACACACTCACAGCCAGATCCTCTGCACAGGCTGCGTACCACCACCTTTTTGACCTTTTTCTCCCCAAGACTCCAAACCAGCAGCTAAAGCATGGAGGCAGCGCTGAGCACCAGATTCCTCCCGCTGCCCCTTTGAGCGCATCCATCGCCCTTCAGCTACAGCCCGGAGAGGCTCAGAGCTGACGTCCCACGGCAGCACGGCCGAGCGCCGAGCTGAAACACCACAAACCCCTCCGGGGATTGCTCAGCAGACGCCACGGCAGCGGCAGGCTTTGAGAAAGAGAGCTGCGTCCAAGGGGAGTTGGGAACATCACTTTTTCCGCCTCTAATCAGCTTGTTAGCAGCCTAATAACAGAGAAGCCCTGCACATTACAAACCCCCGAAGTGAGGCACAGCCTATTGTCGAATTGCTGCTTGACAGCCAGCTTTCGGCAGCCCTAAATTATCCCATGACAAGCTGCAGTGAAGAGGTGAGCAACCTTGCGCATAATCTACAATCATTATCATTTCCATCTTTATTACCCACAGTATGCTGAGCACATTAAGGAGGCTTTAAGGGAGCTTTTGTTTTGCAATAATTTCTTAAAAAACCTGCTTTCTTGTTAGTATCTCCCCTGCCATCTCATCAAAATGGAAATGCTGCAAAAGGCTCCATTTATTTCCTTTAATTCTCCTTCACACTTCCAGCCAGCGCGGGCTGCCTCGGTAGAGACTTTTTGGCTGAGCCAAGGTTAAAGGTGCCTGTGCAGACGTGGCCTCCTCGAGCTCTGGGGTTTGATGCTCTGAGCAGATACAGCTCTCCAGGACATGTATGAAACTCCGGTGTCCACAGCAAAAGATCTCTCAGCAAACCATCCCTGGCCCTTTTGCAACAGGCGTTTCCAAAAGCTGTGGCTTCAACAGCTCAGCGTCACGGGGGAACACGCTCGGGGGAAATTATCCCAGTCGTGATGGGTCCAGAGAGGGAATCCGGGCAGTGGGTCACCCCGGGGATTTCCAGGGAATGGCAACACCGAGGTTTATTTGTCACAGGCAGCTCCGGGCTGGCAGGCGTGAGCTGTTCACATTTAACATAAACGGGATTCTTGTTTTGGCTGGCAGGCAAAGGGGATTTGGGTTTCACTCATGAGATTTTTTTTCTTCTTTGTTCTCGCTCCCTCTCGCTTGAGCACAGAGCTTCATCCAGGCTGGGCTCGCTCCCACGGGTACCGGCACCGGGACCACCCTCCACGCCAAGTCCGGGGGGCCGAGGAGGAGGAGGCAGACAGACAAACAGGTTGTTTTACAGCACAAATCCACGGCTGGGATTATCTGCCCTGGCCTCGTCTATGCTGCCCGCAAAGTCGCATCTGGAGTCGCAGGGGATGCTCAAACCCCACGGCCCTCAGCTCCTCCCCGCCGTGTTGCCAAACACACAGGGGTTAATTATAACCACAGTGAAACAGTCATCGAGTGAGAAGCCGCAAGATGCCGCGCGCCCCGGCGAGGGAGGGGACGCACCGAGGGGTTGCTCTGCTCCCTCTCCTGTGCCCTCGCCCTCTCCTGCTTCCAGTTCTCGGGGCTTTCAGAGGGCAGGTCCATCTCTCCAGCCTCCATCACTGACTCCTCAGCACCAGGAAAAGGAGCCAGCTGGGCAGCACGTGGTCCCTTTTCCATGCAGAAATGGTGCTAATGACTCCGAGGACCTGGATCTGCCCTGGGGACTCATCCTCCCCCAGCCCGCATGGCAGCAGCCTGTGGTGCCCCACGGCTGCTCTGTCCGGAGAGGGGCAGTGAGGCCGAGAGGGCACAGAAAACCAGAGGGAGAGGGAGGAAATGAAACAGGAAAGCCGGGAAAGGAGGAGTGAGGAAAACCACCAAAAAATGGGAAAAGGAAAACGGGGTTGGAGGCAGTGGTTTCTACTCCCCAATAGAGCAAGAGGTTTGCAAACCAACACCTCCCACCACAATTCCCAAGCCGACAGGACCGCAGAAAAGCGCCCTTCCTTGCTTAGGACATACCAGGATCTCTCGGCCCACTTCTTTGCAGCCCACAGGGCCACCAGCCAGACCTCTCCCCTCCTCCCTTACCTTTTCCGCCGACTGCGACGTCCCAAAAAATATAGGGATGAAGGCTAACCACACAATGCAAGTAGTGTACATGGTGAACCCGATGGGTTTGGCTTCATTAAAGGTCTCCGGGACCCCGCGGGTCTTAATAGCGTACACAGTGCAGGTGACCATGAGAAGCATGCTGTACCCAAGCAAACAGATGAGGGAGAGGTCTGAAATGTCACATTTGAGGATGCCCCGGGCAAAGTGGGGGTTTGTAGTCCGCTGGTCCTCGTAGTCAATGACAGAGTGGGACGGGTCCACGATGAACCAGATGCAGACGCCCACGAGCTGCAGCGAGATGAGGCTGAAGGTGATGACCAGCTGGGAAGCGGGGCTGATGAACCGGGGAGCACTCACTGACTTCTTGCCCTGCTCAAAGATGCGGTAGATGCGGTTGGTCTTGGTGAGCAGGGCAGCGTAGCTGATGCTCATGCCGAGCCCGAGGAAGATGCGTCGCAAGGAACATGTGCTCAAGTCGGGCTCGGCGATCATGAGGAAGGTGGTGGCGTAGCAGAGGAAGATGCCTGTCAGCAGGACGTAGCTCAGCTCCCGCCCTGACGCCTTGACGATGGGCGTATCGTTGTAGCGCACAAAAGTGACCACCACAAAGAGGGTGGCGATGATGCCCACGATGGCGATGAAGACGGGCACCACAGCCCAGGGCGAGCTCCACTCCAGCTTGATGATGGGAATGGGGGTGCAGCTGGTGTGGTTCTCGTTGGGCCGCTCGTTGAAGTGGCACCGCTTGCAGTGGAACTCGTCCAGCTGGTACTGGTAGCCATCACAGCGCTCGCAGTGCCAGCAGCAGGGAATGCCCTTCACCAACTTCTTCCTCTCGCCCGGCTTGCAGGGCAGGCTGCAGATGGAGCTGGGGAGCTGGCTCCCACCCCCTGGCCACAGCATGCTCTCCACCTGCGGGGCGAGATGGCACCTGCCCCACTGACACTCGAGCTCAACATCTGCCGAGCATCCCTGGGGCACGGGAGGACGGCTTGCCTCGTCTCATGGCAGCGTTGCCCAGATCTGGCCCCTCGCCCCATCAGTACATCCCGTGAGGGACCCCAGCCCTACCAGCATGGGGACAGGGAGGCGGTGAAGCTCTCCCTCAGCTTTTTGGGAAGATTCAACACCAGAAGCCCAAAACAAAGCCCCTTCTTCCCTGGGAAAACCCCTTCTGCTCTGTTCTGGCTTCTCCTTCCCTTAACAGAGCTGCAAAGTTGGATGCCCAAAGCCTGTGGGACGTAGTCACACGCACTGATGGTGGGTCACCATGGCTGGACCGCAAGCGTGTACTCAGGGGACACCCTCCTCCTCTGACTCCCCCCAGGTTTGGCTGCCTAACTGTGCACCCACGGGCTCCCGGGCTCCCAGCGGGGTTTACTACACGCTACGTGGCCTCAATGGGTGCAGAAGAAATCTGCAGGACCTCCCCCTTGGCACGGCCACCAGCCAGCCCCCAGCCTTACTTTTAGGTGGAGGTGGTCGGTCCATTGCCCGATGACTTTGTACTCCGGAGTGGAGTTCCTGATCTGGTACTGGTAGATGTCGTAACGTCCCGGCGCGTCTCCGTTCTCATTGAACGTCACGGGAGTCCCCGCGATGCCTGCGAGAGAGGGAGGACTCAGCACCCAACAGCACGGGGTGCCCTGGGTGATGGTGTCGAAGGGGGCTCCGGTGTGATGCTTCCCCCTTGGCGTGGGGATTGCTCACTGCTGGCAGTGCCGCAAGCTGCCAGGATGATGCCGGCACAGGCACAGGGTGGAGGAAGGAATTGGGGAAAAGAAACCCAAACCCAAACCCAAGCTGGTGCGGGGACCTTATGGCATCGACCCACCGACTCCCGCAGGAGCCGGAGGTCACTGAGCGAGCGATGCTGGGCACCGAGCGCTCTTCCACCAGCCGGTTTACTGCTTCTTTTAAGAAAAGGGGGAAAAGCAGCTTTAAAGCTAAATCAAGTGAACTGTGCAGATAAATACTAATGAAAGGAAGGAAGAGAAAAATCAAGCAAGAGGGAAAAATAAATAAAAGAGACACCGCAGAGGAGATCACAGAGTGGAGATAAATAGAAGTAATAAGGAGGACAAGACAGAAAATGTTTATTAAGGAGGCAGAGCAGAGGAAAAGATGCATTTCCAGAGATGTGAAGAAAGACAAGGACACAGCGGCGTGATTCAGTGGGACCTCCGCCAGCCCCGAGCTGGAGGCGGCAGGGGGGAGCGGGGGAGGGGGGAGGCCAGGCAGGCAGGACAGCACAGGGAGGGCAGGATCGCTGCCGGGTTACTCTCCAAAGGCTCCCAGGAAGCTCAGACCTCCTCATCTGCTGCAAAACCACCCCGTCTTTGCACCCAGCGTTTGCGGCGCGGCGGGTGCCAAAGGATAACAAGAATAAATTGTGGGTGCTGCTTTGTCATCCATAACGGGGGACAACCTGAGACACCCAGTCCCAGTGGGGCCATTCCTCCCCACCGCCCCGGGGATGGACAGACCTGAGAAGTTGACGTTGCGGATGTACTTGAGCAGCTCCACGCCGTCCACTGGGTCCATCCGGGGGCACAGTCCCACCTTGCCGGGGCAGAGGTTCTTGTGCATGTTGTGCAGAGCGTGTCCCATGGCATAGACGGCGTCGATGACAAACTGAACCTTGCCCTCCTGCTCGTATGAGGAGTCCTGGCCGATCCGCTCTCGGTCTATGGATACACATAAAGCAGGGCTGCCACCTCCCTGCCGTCCCAGCCGTTCCCCGCAGGGACACTTCTACTGCAGCTGAGCCCTTGCATAGAAGCCTGCCCTGGACTGAAGCAACTGGAAACTCCAACCCCATTCCCAAAACTACAAACCCATCAGCCAGCCAGGGCACCTCTATCCCAGCGGGAAGCTTATGCTCCCGAGGCATGTCCCAGGAAGGAGCAGCAGGGCAGAAACGCATCTCAAAACAACCCCAAACTCTTCCCCAAACAAACCCCACATCGCAGATGTATTTCGCGGTGCCGGCCCAAGGCATCGGCTGTGTCTGCGCTGCCGGGGCTCAGGGCTCGAGCCTCTCCGCCAGCCAAAAGTCCTCCCGGCACCTGTGTGTCCCTTGTCCAGAGGGGTCAGGAAGGACAGCCGGGAGGACATGCTGTGGGTCTCACCTCAGCCCCTCTGAGCAGCGTGCCGGGAAGGTTTGGGGTACATGAGATGTCCTCTGCAGGCAGGAGAAGGGTGACGTGCAGCCAAGAAACACATTCAGTGGGGAAACACCCAACCAACCTGTAATGTAGTTCTGGAAAGGTGGGTGCTGGCACCCAGCTGTGCTTCCAAGAGCCCTGGGGATGTCACGTCCCACTGCCACGAGACATCCCCGTACTCCCAGATCCCCAAGCAGGATGTGGGCTGGGCCGTGATCAATGTCCCATCCTCACCCCCGCAGGCAGACCTCCTTCATCTGGCCAGGAGCTCCCACCAGCTCAGTGTCTATCACTGGCATCGAGGGACCACCCAGGCAGTACCCATCACTGGCTGTGTGTCCTCCATCACATTCCCGAAGCCTCCTGTCACCCTGCTCCCCCCATCACCCCCCGCCGCCCTCCCACCCCGCTGACCCCACAGTCCTCCGCAGCCTCCCCGGCCATCCCGGCGTGCAGGATCCCGCAAGGATCTGGTAATTACCGGCGACAGCTGCCTGCCTCTCCTGTCATAACTGCCCTTAATGGGACTAGAAACATGTTAATCATTTAGCAAAAGACACCGATTAATGTAGCACGCTGTTAATTACAGCTAAGAAAGCATCTCCCATGGAGTGATGCCGCATCGGAGACCCGCGGCCTCTGCACCTCCATCTCCGCCTCGATGGCACAGCCGGGCACCTCGCCAGGCCACAGCTCCTTCAGCGACAGCCAAAGGGAAAGAAGGTTTCTCAGGGAGCCGAAGGCATGGCCTTCATCCTCTGGCGAGGCAGAGGCATCCTAAAAAGCCATCCAAGGGTTTCCAAAATTCATTCTGGCTCCACCACACACCGATGCCCCCTGAGGCAAGGTAGGGTTTTACGGAGGCTGCAGGGGGACCAGGGCACAGCGCCTGCGCTGATGGGGACAGAGAAGGCACAGGCAAGCTGTGGTCACCGATGGCCTCCCTCCCCGCTGCGGGAAGGTGGGACAAAGCCAGCGCTGGATGCGGAGCAGGTCTCTGCCGAGCGATGACGTCCCTGGACCGGGACAGAGAGCAAAACGTGCCACTGACAAGACACTAAAGCAAATTGATAGTGAACTGACCAACAAGAAAAGATGATATCAAGGAGGTGAATTTATAGCCCATCCTTCAAAGTTATAAAAATGCTTTTGGACTACGTGGAGATTACTCATGCGAAACCCGTCAAGTTATCCTTTCTTCCACATTATTGACAAGGGCTATTAATCTTCTCCCTCGACTTTGGGCCTTTCCCTGCATTCATCTCTCAAGGCGCAGACAAGCCACTCTATCTTGTCAAGATAATTACCCATTTAAAAAAAAAAAAAGGGTGTAATAGACTGTCCAAGGGAGCTGAGCCCACGGGGATGTCCCAGCCCCGCTGCCACCCTGCAGAGCCTGCTGAGCCCAGGGGACACACGGGACCCACGACTCGTCCCTTCCCAGCTCCTCGGCTTCCTAGCAGGCACCTCAAATCCCACACAGGTCCCAGCAAGTAAAATACAACCCGCTGTGCCAACACAGGCTGCGGAGGCTGGATTTTCCTCCCAAATATCCCACTGGCTTGCAGTGCGCAGCATCAGCCCGGCGCGGTGGGAGAAGCCGGCTCTGGTGTTGAAGCTGAGCCATCGCAGAGACGCAGAGGTCTCCCGGGCTGTCCATCGGACAACTTTTCCCAGGCCCCAGCTGCTTTTTCCAGAAGGGAATTAGACTGGCGTACAGAGGGTCAACACGGAGCAGGAGACCGAGGTTCATTCCCGACACGGAGACAATAAATCTCCGCCAAACTCGCAATAGATTAGGGTTGCTAAAGGGATGTGACCGCGCTGATTATAATAGCAGGGTCGTGCATCGTTCTACAGGGCTGATAATTAATTTTCAAGTGCATGATGAGCCTCCGCGGGCACCCCTCGGAGGACGGACGCCGCTATCTTCTCAAGCGGTGGATGAGACGGGATTAGTATCAATTCCCATCACATCGCCGGCATCGGTTTTTGGCAGGAGTTAATCAAAATTGCTCACAGTGCTGCTCCGGAGAGCTGGGGGACAGTGTCGCCTCTGAATCTCCAAACCTCGTGGGCACTGGCAGCAGCACCCATCGCCACGTTTTTGGGCTGGGTGAGCCCATCTGGGGAGCAGGGACTGCCCCCCCCAGGAGGGATGCTCGCTGCAAGCATCTCTCTGCAACGAGGGCTTGAGCTGCCCTCGCGGCGAGGCTGGCAGTGCCCGTTTGGAGAGCCGGTGGCTCTGAAGGAAAGCTGAGCAGAGGCATTGCCAGGACGCCCCCGCCCGCTCAGACCCAGACTCGGTCAACAGGAGCCTTTTATCATCTTAACTACCAGGCGAGCAATGCAAATCCTCCCCCGTTGGCCCGGCTGGGGCACGCTGTGCTGGAAAACAGCCGGTGCCACAAAAAAAAACCCAACCCCATGCTAAGAAGAGACCAGAGAGAAGCAAAACAAAAAGGGAAAAGAATATGAAGAATCACAAATAAAGAAGGGGGGGAAAAAAATCAAATAAAAGCTCCTCTCCCTTCCACCCACATTGCTGCTTTGCATCTATCCGCAGAGGTGAGCGCACAGCGAAATCCCCAGCACAGCTTCAAAGCAGAGTTACCATCCAGCCCTGCTAAACGAAGGCCATTAATTAGTTCTTCTGGAAAAAGAGGAGCCTGTAGGGCCTGGAAGCATCCTGCGGTCCCCATGCGGGTCACAGTGGGGGACGTAGCCCCAAGCTGTGCCCTGCCCTTGCCACCCCATCGGCCCGGCAAACCCGGCGCTGCCATCGGCTCCTCCGCCTCCACGCGCAGCCCCCCAGCACCTCCCCGTCTGCAGCCGCACGTGTGTGAATTATTAACGATTCGGCGACTGGCAGGATCCTTTCCAGCCCAGCTGGCCGGGCACGAACCGGGGCTGGCTTCCCCCCGGGAGCCTGCCCAAACCCAGAGGGTCGGGGACGCAGCTCGGCGGAGGGAGCTTGGAGGTGGGGAAGGATGCGGAGGAGATCCAACTGCAAAAGGAGGTGGGAGACAGGTCCTGGCCTGATCCTGGTGACGGAAGCACTGAATTTTCAGAGTTGGAAGGGACCTCTAGAGATCATCTCGTCCCACTCCCCTGCTGAAGCAGGACTGCCCAGAGCACATCCCTCAGGACTGCATCCAGGCGGGGCTTGAATACCTCCAGAGAAGGGGACTCCCCCACCCCCCCGGGCAGCCTGTGCCACTGCTCTGCCACCCCAACCGTAAAGAAGTTTCTCTGTGGATTTGAACAGAATTTCCTACGTTCCAATTTGTGCCCATTGCCCTCGTCCTGTCACTGGGAACCACTGAAAAGAGTCTGGCTCCATCCTCCTTCAGCCCACCCTTTAGATACTTGTACGCAATAATAAGGTCTCCCCTCAGCCTTCTCTTCTCCAGGCTGAAGAGTCCCAGCGCTCTCAGCCTTTCCTCACACGGGAGATGCTCCCAGCACGACAAACTGGGGACAGTGCACACAGCTCCTGACGGGTGCTAGGATTGGTCTTAGGGATAATGCAGGCAGCTGCCAGTGGGCATTACCCCAAAATCTGGTGCCCACCCCACCCCAGCCCTCGCCCTTCACCTTCCTCACAGCTCTTCCATACCTCAACGAGAACCATGAGCTCTGTTTGGTGGTGGGACCCTTAGGTTTGGTTTTCAGGATGCAAAGGCCAGCATTTCTCTGGGCGTTTCAGGCTGTACCCAAACCCAAAGCTCGTGGGGAAAGTCAGTACAATTCCCTCTATAAAACAGCCCCAAACAGGACATTTGCATAAGCTGCGCAAAGCCCGTGAGCTCATGGATCTGCACCGGCAGGTTATTTGCTTCCTCGTGCGTTATTTCCCCTCTCCGTTTATCTGCCAAGCAAACGTTCAGGAGATAATTTATTTGCTGACAAATTCAGATAATTTAAAGACAGTTCCTAGGACATTTGCCATGTCGTGGTTTCAGCTGCCTCCACTAATACCTTGGCCCTGAAATATTGCTTGTTTAAATGCTACATTACTATGAAGATGAAGAGATCAGCGGTCTGCAGGACCTGCTCATGCATTTCCTGGTGCCGGTGATTTCTTCATGCTACCGGGAAGGATGAGGAGCTCTCAGCTACCCAAGGCCATGGCCACGGGCAAGTTTTCTTCTAGGCAAGCTCATGCCTAGGCACTAGCCACAAGGCTACCTGGGGAAACTGCAGCACTGGAAAGCCCTTGTGGGGACAGAGAGGTGTCCCCAAATCATCAGCTGAACATTTGGGGAATGCCCGTAAGGGACAGGACGTGGAAGCACCATCCCTCACATCCTCGGTGGTGAAAACAGGGGGAAAAAAAAATCCCTTAATGATCAAACTTTCCAGGCACGGGCAGGTCCATCCGCCTGCTGGCATACCACGGCTTCCACAGACGTCCCTCCCGCGGGGACAGGGGGGACGCGCAAATGTCCCCAAGTCCTGCCACGTCGCAGCCTGCGAGCCGCCACGTCGTTATCTGTCTTCAGCCAGTGCCAGGCAGGCAGTAAATCTCTCCCATCTCTCAGTAAACATGTCACCTCCTTGAGCCTCCAACCATCACCTCGGCAGCAGCGCTGTCAGCAAGACAGATCCCCTGGATGCCCTGTTTACTGCATTAATCCCTACAAGTCTCTTTTAGCTGGAAATGGCTAAAAATGCACAGTGCGGGGGTGAGGAGGGAGCCTGGGATCTGACGGGAGGCGGTTCCCTGCCTGGAGTGGCACAGGGGCCCATCGGCAAAGCAGTTGGCAACGAGACAGGGGCAAACACCACTCCAACACACACCCCGGGGTGATCGCCTCCTCTCCGGGCACCCCTGTACCCTCCCGTGGGGCAGCACCTTCCCTATGGGCATGGACACACTGCGGACGCAGCCTCCGTGCTGGCAAAGCACGAGCCGCATCCTTCAGGCATAGAATCATAGAATGGTTTAGGTTGGAAAGGACCTTGAAGATCACCGAGTTCCAATCCCCCTGCCATGGGAGGGATGCCCCCGTTTTCCAACGCCTGCCCTGGGCTCCCTGCCATGGGCAGGGACACCTCCCACTAGACCAGGTTGCCCAATGCCACGTCCAGCCTGGCCTTGAACACCTATGATGCCCAGTCGGCATCATTCCTCTGCCACCCGCCCTGGCTTTTAGCCTGCTCACTGGGACTCGGGACAGGAGCCGCTTGCAAGGGAGCAAGGATGCACCGGTGGCTTTGCGCCTTCCACGGGACAACGGTACTTCTGCCAAGCACGCGATGAGAAAGAAGCAGTTGTCCAAATGCTGCGAAATAATGAAGAATTCAGTCCCAAACCCCTCAGTTCTGGATGGGTTCGGACCCGCAGAAGACGAGGCCAAGGGAAGGGAGATGTGCAAGGAGAGGGAGCAGCCTTGGGAGCTTTGCACAGGAACCGAGCAGGCTCCACACGCTCCCTCCATCACGCACAGCTCCTCGGGATGCGCAAAAGCATTTCTGTGCAACGCTCCTGCCCGCTTTTAAGCGATCCGCTGCCATCGCGAGCCCAGCAGATGCCCGAGCGCCCGTGCAGGTGAGCAGCTCTGTTCCCCCATGTTCCCCACACCTCAGAAGCACCGGCGTTTCTCCAGCCTTCCCCAAATTCCCACCTGGCTTTGATGCTTAGTCCAGAAAAAACCATGCTCGCAACCGAGACGGCCATGCACGGAGTATCAATGGCCGCATAACTGCCTTGAGCTGGGCTGGCAGCTCCAGAGCAAGAAGGACGTGGCAGAGCTGAAAGACCATAAGGGGAATAAGTTTCTATAAGTTTCTCGCAAGCGAAACTTTTCCAACGCCTGCCCTGGGCTCTCTGCCATCGCCTTCACGTCCCCACGCACCCCATTGCGATACAGCGACACACACTCACGAGCCTCCGCTCGCCCGCAGCATCCCCACAGCTCTTACTGGTGCACTTCTTGATGCTGCTGCCCTTCTTCAGCGCGTGCCGGCTCAGCTTGCAGTGGAAATTTTCCTCCCAAAACTCAGCAAACCAGATGTTGCGGCGGTTGTTGTCCAGCGTCCTGCTGGAGAAGTAGCGGTCGAAACCTGCCCGGGGAAGAGGGGACGGAGGGGATAAATCTCTGGGATGGCAGAGAGATGCTTAACATGGCCCCAAACTCCCCAGGCAGAGGGGAAGGAGGGTCTCGCGAGCGGTGGGATGTGGGGACACGTAAGAGTGCGGTGGGTTTGTGTCCCAGCTGCCGTTTAGGCAAAGCTGCAGCCTGGAAAACCCACTTAGGAAGGACCCACTGCAAAACACAGAGTCTTTCACAGCCAAAAACCTTGCGGTTAAGGGGGTGCCACCGGGGAGGACAGCCGACCCAGGGGGGGAGCTGAGGGAACCCACCCAGTGCAGCCCCTTACCTTTGACAGAGACCCGCTTGGGCAGGATGGTGACGGAGCCCTCGGCCACCTCCTCCAGGTGCAGGACCGGGGAGATTTTGGAGCCCCAGCTGTCCGAGCCCATCCAGATGAAGTGTCCCGTCTGGTTCGCCCTCTTGGCCGCCTCCAACACCCTTCTGCAAAGAGAAGCAACAGGCGCTGGCACTCGCCGGCACCGCGGGGCTGGGGCACCGGCTGCGTGTCCGGTCCCATGGAAGAGGGGATGCTGGCACGGGACAGTGCCCAGCGCCGTTTGCATCTCCCACTCCGGGCACTCGGTTGGCACCAGGCACCATGCACGACCCGCTTCATATGGATAGACGAGACCGAACCGCACTGCTCAGCTCCCGCACCCTCCATCCTCCACAGCCCAGGCACACAGGCTGCTTCTCCCGCCTCATTTGCATATTTGCTGACTGGTAATTGAATTTCCCCCTTAATTACCCAACATTTGGGGGAGAAGAGGGGGGGGAATCAGGTTGTGCCGCAGCAGGCAGGAAAAGCAGCAGCGCTGGAGAGCACGCGTGGGCTCTCAGCTCTGATCAGCATTGCGAACCACAAAGAGAGAACCAGCCAGCCCTGCCAGTGCCCAGGCTAGAGCTAAACTGGGCTCTGCTGGGCTCAACTGGGCAGCTGTGGGGAGTTGGGAATGCCATCCATCCTGCCGAGCATCCCTCATCGTGGCCAGACACTCAGCCGCACACGCTCGCACGCTGCACCGGCACCAGCCAGTTTAGAAGATCTTAGCAGTGGACGGGAACTTTCCTGGATCAGACCCTCCGGGTTCTTTTTTCCCCAGGGCTCGCTGTCCCCTCAGGGGCTTGTGTGGGTCCCCAGCCCCCTCGGAGCGGGGCCCAGGGCACCTTCATCTCCCCATCTCCCCGTGCAGCGAGGAGGCAGGTTTGTGACTCACCCCCCGCCGTCGGGAGCTGATCATTTCAAGTCCAGATGGTGTTTGAAACGTGTAATAAGGAAAAAAAAAAAAAAAAAACAACCAAAACCAACAACACAGCCGGGGAGCTGTGCCGGCTGCTCCGTGCTCATCCCGGGTTGCCCCAAGGTGAGCAAAGCCCACGTCCCGCTCCCAGCACAAGCAGCATCTCCAGCTGCCCGCGGTCCTTGTGCGGGGCAGAATCTCCCCGGGGCAAATCGAGGACGTTCCTGTGAGATGGGTGATTTCCACCCGCTCTGAGTTGGGCAGAAATTCCATCGCTGGACCGTCTTGCTCGGCAGCGTGGCCCTGCACGTTTCGGGAGAGGCAACACAGCATCTTCCAGGCTCCGCAGCCCAAGCTGGCACGAGGGTCGGGATCACAGCAGCCTCCATGCCCGGGGTAAATCCACGCTCACCCGGCGTGAGGTGGGTGTGCGTAAAGCACTGTTCATGGGATGTAATCCTATTTGGATGGGTAAATGTTTACAAACCCCAGTTAATGGGGCTTGCCATTTACACAGCGAGGTAAATCCCCCATTTCTCACCACATGCCCGCGGAAATGTCAGGTTTGCAGACATTTCTATTAAGGAAGGAAAAAAGAAACTCGGAGCGTTTGCACATCTGATGTAAACTGATTTAAAATCGCAGTTTACCCACATTTACATAATGTTTGCTGATTAATAAATTAGATACTTAGGAAATCAGGGGTAGTTCCATGTGAATCATTCTGCTCCATAAACAACGGGAGCTGCAAGACGTTGCTTCGCCTGCAGAGCAGCTCATCACCTCGAAGCGTGGTTGTGTCCCCAGCCCCGCCAGGCAGGCAAGGTGGCAAGGGGGGGTCCCCAAAAGGTCCCCCTGGACCCGTTCCTCTTCCACGCCGGGGGCTGAGGCTGCAGAAAGCAGAACCGTCGCCTGGGTCCCGCCGCAAGCGGTGCTGAGCGAGGCCCCGCGCCAGCTCTGATGCACCCGTGAGCAGCGTGAAGCAGCCGGGTTGTGACAGCGGGAGTTTCCAAAGCCGAGAGAAAGCGGATTTTTCCTCCTTTCAGCTCTGTGTTGCTGTGGTTTGATGGCAGCACCATGCCAGGCGGCCGCTCTGAAGTCAGCCCTGCTGGGTCCCTGCTGAAGCCATGTCCATGCCACGCTGCTGGGTGCATCCTCGCCACGCTGCAGACACGTCCATGCCACGCTGCAGGGTGCATCCTCACCACACTGCAGACACGTCCGTGCCACGCTGCAGGGTGCATCCTCACCACACTGCAGACACGTCCGTGCCACGCTGCAGGGTGCATCCTCGCCACACTGCAGACACGTCCGTGCCATGCTGCTGGGTGCATCCTCCTCGCCACACTGCAGACACATCCGTGCCATGCTGCAGGGTGCATCCTCACTGCGCTGCAGACACGTCCATGCCACGCTGCAGGGTGCATCCTCGCCACGCTGCAGACACGTCTGTGCCACACTGCACAGGCAGCTACGCAGGCACGTCTGCTCCACGTTACCAACACACCTACACCGCGTTGCAGACACGTATGCACGCTGCAGGCAGGGCCAGC